TCTCTCTCTCTCTCTCTCTCTCTCTCTCTCTCTCTCTCTCTCTCTGGGTACTAGAACTGGAAGCTCTCAGGACCCGCCTCAGGCTGTTGATCATGAATTTGCCAGAGCCCAGGGTGGGTGTCTTCCGAGGCTCTGGCTAGAGAGGTGTCCCCAGGGTGGGGCCTTGGCTGTTAGCCAAAGCCCCAGCCTGGAACTTGGTCCCAGCAAGGGCCCACAGTCCAGGCTTGCTGAAGCTCCAGGCAGGATCAAAAGCCTAGGGTTTTCTAGAACCAGAAAGTCACTGGCAGCAAAACAGGTGACCGGAAGTGTGGGGGTAAAGGAGCTCAGAAAACACAGAGCCAGAAGCCCTGGGCAGCGGGACCACAAGGCAGGCCGAGGCAGGAAAGGCAGGTGGGTGTCTTGCCTCATTGCGGGCACTGGGCCAGTGTAGGCTGGCAGGGTGTGGCCTCAGCTTGCTATTGGGGCTGCATCCTGCTTGCTGTGGGCAGGTGGGCATCTTGCAAGAGGAGGGGCTTCCTGGGCTGGAGCCTGGATTTCCCTCAGGGCCAACAGGACCCTGAGCCAAGCAGCCCTATCAGGATCTTATCTGCATGGTGTGAGGGTGTCCCCACCTAACTTCCACCTGCCAGCCCCAAGGGGTGAACTCAGCCATGTCCCTTGCCCCTCACCCACAGGGCACCAGGCTGCCAAGCTGTGCCCTAGAGGATGGCAAAGGAAGAGGCGCAGTTGTCCTGTGTGCTTGCGGCTCACGCCACCCTGCACATGCAGCCCAAGCTGCCCCAGGAGGTGCACATTAGTGTCCCCTTCATGGCCTCCCCCTCTCAGCCCCAGGTCCCTTCCATGGCTGGGGTCGCTCCAACTTCCTGTCTGTCATCCCACACACTCACTGCTGCTGAGTCCTGGGCTGTCAGGCAGGAGCAGCCACAGCCCTCATGGTCCCTGAGGGCTTCCAGCAGGGTGGCCGCTGGTGGAGGCTGAGCTGGGCTGAGCCTTGATCCTGGGGGGCTTGGAAGTCTTGGTGAACTGCTAGCAGCCAGGGGTTGCTGTGGGATTTGCTACCTTGTGAAGGGTAGGTGGGAGACAGGGTGGGGGGTGCAAGAGGAGCAGGACTTGCACCCCAGGGGGCCCCTGGGAGGTCAAGGGTCATGTGAGCCCAGCATCACCCCACACCCTGGGCTCAAGAGCCAAGCCAACCTGGGCCACCCATAAACCTGCTTCCCTGGTTGCTAGGGAAGCCTCCAGTCACTGGCTCAGGGTGGAAGATGTTAAAGGAGGGGCTGAGGCATCCCTAGGGCTGCCCCGCCCCCTCAGTGCCTGGGCTCTTGATGCCAGCCTTCCCAGGTCAGATGCTGCTTGGCAGCCCAGCTTGCAGGAGCTCCAGGTCCCTCCTCGTGCCTGAGGTCACGGGATGGTAAGACTGTAAGATAGGGACCTGCTGTCCTGCCTGCAGCCCTCTTCCTGTGACCCAGCGCTGGACAGGAGGTACCTGGCCTGAGCTCTCCTTCTGGGCTTCCCTGGTGGCCTCAGGGCTGGTGTGGGGTGCTGGGGAAATGCTGGCTGAGCTCTGCTCTTGCACTTGGCCCTGTGACTATCTGTGAGGCAGAGCTCCCAGAGAACCTGAGGTGGGGCATGACACCACACCCAGAGGCTGCCGGAGGAGGCTGGGGAGGCAGCTTGGCTCGACCTCCATGTCACATGGTCCCCGGAACCTAGGTGTGCTTAGGTCAGGTTGGTGGGGACTCTGCCTGGGAACACTTCTAGGACCTTAGGACTGCCAGCCCATCTCCTACTGGGCCTGTGATAAAGCAGTGAGTAGCCCGGCTGAGGTCAGGGTCACCAGAGCAGGGCCCATGGCTCAGTTAGTTCCTGGCCCTGGTCGGATCTGCACACAACACCTTGGCAGGACCCTCGGGATCCAGCTGCCACTCATTCCTTGCAGGCCGTAGAAACAGCTGGGACAGTGGGGACTGAGGAGAGGTGTTGGGCAGCTGGGCTGCCTTGTCCTGAACCAGGTGCTTCACCTCTCTGAGCCTCCATTTCCTCACTCAACAGGCAGTGAGGGCTACTTTCTAAGAGGTGGTCTGAGGGCTAACCAAGCACCAGCACCCTCATAACCCAGGCGTGGTCCTGCATGGCGGGGACCCTTCTCACCCTCATTTTGGGAGCAGGGAGCAGCTTGTCCCCAGTGGCTCAAGTGGCACCTGCTCCAGCCTCCGTGCCCCTGGAAATAGGAGGTGGTCGTCTCGCTGTCTCCCCCCACGTGGCGTATCGCTGCACTGTTCTGCGATGTCTCCAGCACCCCAGCCCCCGACCCCCAACTCTATGAGCAGGCCCCAGCCCCTCGCCCAGATGGGGACCCAAGGCCAGCGTTGGGCCCTGGCTGGCAGGCGAGGCAGGGCAGAGAGGAAGGACGATGGCATTGGCTCACCCGGATAGCTGAGCTCACACCCTCGGCCGGCCCCCACCCCGCAGACATCAATGAGTGCCTGGTCAACAACGGCGGCTGCGACCACTTCTGCCGCAACACTGTGGGCAGCTTCGAGTGCAGCTGCCGCAAGGGCTACAAACTGCTGACGGACGAGCGCACGTGCCAAGGTGAGTGTCCCAGGCTGGGCAGCCCTCCTGGGGTCCCCTCAGGGTCTCGCTAGAGATGAGCGCATGGGTGCGGCTGGACCTACGGGGTTGAGTGTGCATGCACTCCTGCCTTCTCTCCTTCCATCTGTCCTTTATTACGCTAGGAGCCTCTAGTCCAAACTGGCTTCATAGGTAGGAAACAGAGTCCCAGGGAAGGAAACTCCAGCCCTCCCCCGCCCCTCCTGCAGTGCCCGACAGCTCCAGCTAGAAAAGGGGCACTGCCACCTAGTGGAAGGCTTTGCACACTGCAAGCGCCTCCAACCGTCCCTTAAGGTCCCTGGGGGCTTACTAGAAGCCAGTATGGTGGGAGGAGATGGCTGGGCCCAGGCCAGGAATCCCAGCCCCGAAGCCCAGCAGCTGGTGTGGAGGTCACAGGAGCCTGGAGGACTGGGATTCCCGAGGGAGGGCCCGGAAGGACTCCATTTCCCACAGGCTGTCAGGGTGCCGGCTGCTGGTTCTGTTCCCATAATTAAAACCACACGACATGCACCGGTCCAGCGGCTTCCTCCCAGGGGAGTCCCAGCCATTTTCCTCCCTGCAGATGTGGTTTCAGGGCCGCTCCTGATCACACTGAGCTCAAGGTGTTCTTTGGGTCACAGTCTTCCCTTCTGTTCAAAATATTTGCACCCTGCTCACCTCCGGGAAAGGTACAGGTGGGGAAATGGAAGTAAAGCAGCAGCCCCAGGAAGCGTGACATCTGCTGTGGGTTGGCTCTGTCTCGAGTTTCAGGCCCAGGCCTGTCCACACCGCATGCCTGGATGCCTGGGAATGACAGGCTGTGCCACCTGAAATTCCTCCCCGTCTCTGTCCCCTGCGACCCCGCAGACATCGACGAGTGCTCCTTCGAACGGACCTGTGACCACGTCTGCATCAACTCTCCAGGGAGCTTCCAATGCCTGTGTCACCGCGGCTACACGCTCTATGGGACCACTCACTGCGGAGGTCTGCAGCCCGCCCACCAGGGCCACCTCCCCCTTGAGGCACGCGCCTGGCTGCATGGCCGCCACCTACACTGCACCCCACATCCCAACTCTTACTTTGATAGTCTGGGGGGCTGGAAGGGACCTCAGCAAGGCGGGACACAGCTGGGCAGGGGGTTCGATCAGAAGGAAGCAGGGGAAGACAGAGGACAGGGAAATGAGGCCACAAGGAGGAGGCAGCAGGCTGCCTGCCAGCTTGGGGACACAGAAGGCTCCAGGTGGTCTTCTAGCGGCCCAGAAGGGTAGGGTGGAGCCCATGGGTTCCCAGAGAAGGTGAGGCAGCGGTCAGAGGGACCATCTGAGCACAAGGTACAGGCACAGGGACAGAGGGACCAAGGCCACCATGTTGCTGGGTCTCAAAAGCAAGAAGATTGAGTAGAAATGCAGGCAGGACCGTGCAGGGGTTCTGGACCCCATGGGGAATTGAGGTCTGTCTCTGGACACTGAAGAATCTCGCACAGGGTGTGAAGTGGCAACAATGTGCTCTCTGGGAGTGTGACAGGAGGATCCAGAACAGCCTTATGGAGCCCAGGAAGGGAGCCGCAAACGGGCAGCGTGCAGTTCTGGGTAGTTTCAGGACAGATCTCAGCTCAGGGGCGTGGTATTGTCCCAGCATGCCCAGCGCAGGTGGGAGTTGATGATGGTCCAGTCACCTCTGCAATCAGGCTTGGCCATGTGCAGGCAGAAGTGTGAAGCTGGGATGGGGCCAGGAGGCAGGCATGGGGGTGCTGGGGGCTCCTGGGTGTGGCTGCCCTCTTTTGGGAGGACCTCAACCTGCACGCTTCCAGGCTGCCACCTGGTTCACAGGGCCCTGAGTATCTAAAGCCCATCCAGAGATCCAGCAGGGCTCCTGGCCAGAAGAGAAAGGGCTCAGAGGTGGCTCTGTTCACGCTAGCACCTACTTCCAGGAGGGGAAATTGAGGCAGGGAAAGGGCTTGTGTGGAGTCCACCTGTGAGATCAGGCCCAGGGGCCCCAGGCCTGGGCCACCTCCCCGGGGCTGGGGCTCCTGCTCAAGGTCAGAAGCCCACCCCCGTGTTCCTAGGAGGAGGTGCATCTGGAGTCTGAGGGGCTTTGCAGCCCTGTGCTCGTGTGCGCTGCGCACGCATGGCATGCGTGTCTGCACCTCAGTAGTGTGGGGCTGAGGTCCTCCCGTCCCCCTGCCCTGCCACAGCCCTGGGTGTGGCTCCGGCGCGGTGTAGCCTCCCTCCTGCCCTCACTCAGGCCTGTGCTTCCAGATGTGGACGAGTGCAGCATAAGCAATGGGCACTGCGATCAGAGCTGTGTCAACACCAAGGGCAGCTACGAGTGCGTGTGCCCGCCAGGCAGGCGGCTGCACTGGAACCGGAAGGACTGCGTGGGTGAGTGGGGAGGGGCACGCGGGCTGGCTCCGCCCCTCCAGGGTGGGCGGGGCGATGACTTGCCTGCTGGAGGCCAGCAGCGCAAAGATGAGGAATCTTGCTGGTGTCGCAGTCCCAGGCTTGGAGGGGGCACGTGTGGAGGCCCTGCCGCCCCACCACGCCTTGTGCATCTGAGGGAGCTGCGAGGAACAGGGTTGAGGGCACGGGGTGCAGCAGCTGCAGCGCCTGCTCCCGGGGGGGAGCTGGACATCTGCGCGGTGCCAGCCCCACAGCGAAGCCCCCAGAGCCTCTTAGAGATCAGGGGAGGAGGAGGTGCGAGCAGCTTCCAGGCCACGCCCCCGGGGCCTCCCCTTCCCCCAGGCTTCTCTTACCAGCCTTACCGGTAACTCTAGACTCACCTGTGGGCTAATCCCGAGCGGCACACCCCAGTATCCAGCCACTCCCCAAGCCCCTCCTCTGAGCGCATGGTGCCCGAGGCACATCCGTGTCTGAATGAGAGCAGTTGTCTCAGAGCCTCAGTAATGGGCTTTCCATGGTGACTTCACAGTTCCAGAAAGTTCATACCTGGTCTTCCAAAAGCACAGGTAGTAAATAAAGATGGTGGCATTTCTGAGTAATTTATGAATCACTCGCCAATAAACCGTGTGTGCGTATTACAAAACGAAGAAGTTGGAACATCTCAAATGAGAGACATTAAATCTACTATTTAGCCCCTTGGGAGTGCTGTTATTTTTCCAGGAGGAGCTGTTTTGATCTTTTCAGAAAACAAACAACTCTTACCAGTGCTTAGTTAGAGCTCAGAGCACCCATTTGGAGGGGCTATGCTAGCGTCTTGGCTCCGGGCTGTCTTTGCAGCTTGCCCTGGACTGTGTGGGCTTCAGGACAGTCAGGAACCAGTCATTCCCTCTGCTGCCTGGGGAACAACCCCGCGCCAGCCCTGTCTAGCTGCGCAGCCAGTCCGTCCCGCTAGATGCAAGCACGTCTTAGGGGTGACATTAGCAAGTGTGGAGATGAGGCTGTCCAGTAAACCAGGGCGGCCTGGCCTCGCTGGGGAGCACGCTTCTGGCTCTTCTGGTGGTTCCTATTGCTCCTTTCCGGAACAGAGGCCAGGAACCGGTGGCCCTCTCCAGCCAGGTCTCTCTGCACTGTAGAAGGTCCTCACCGAAGGATAAGGATCAAGCGGCCCAGTTAACACAGTGCAAAGCGGCGCGCTGCTGGGGAAAGCTTCTCAGCTCTCTGAATATTTACCTTTTTATTGTTTTGCAGTGTAACATGTCCTCAAGAGAGGGTTACAGTTGGGCAGCCAGAGCCAATTTAGGTCCCCTAGAATTTGATTCTCAACGGGATAATTCTTGTTCATTCTGCCTGATACTTCTCCTCTTCCCATTTCTCTTTGTAGCTGTTATTAAGAGCTTAACTGAGAGTGACTCATGGGCCAAACCATTCACCCACGAAGTGTAAAGTGTGGGTTCAGGGTGGGGCCTGTGCACCCGCGGTCAACTTCAGAGCATTTTTATTTCTCCACAAAGAAACTCGAGGTCCCTGAGAGTCTCTTCCCACTTTCTCTGGCGAGGTCTCTCGCCCTCCTCCCCCTTGATCTCGGAGAGGCCTTGGGGCCCTCAGCGTGGGGCTGACCGTGGGCAGATGCCCCGCTCCTTCCCAGGCCCAGACACTGTAGCTGCTGCACCCCAGGGCCCCACCCCTCTTCCTCGCACCTCAAATATTTTTGACTGGTTTATTTCATTTGCTATCATGTTTTTAGAATTTACCTATATTGAAGCATGAATCATAATTTCATCCCTTTTGGTTGAATTCTTTCGCATGTGAATGTACTATGTCTTGTTTGTTCATCAGCTGATGGACAGCTGCTTTTCCCACTTTCCAGCCACTGTGAGCCTTTGTGCAGTTTCTGTGTGAACATGTTTTCAGTTCTCTTGGGTGTATACCTAGGGCTGGCTTGCTGGGTCACAGGTAACTCCATGTTTAACTTTTCAGGAACTGCCAAACTTTTCCCCTAACTGGCTGCACCTCTTTATATCCTTACCAGCAATGTAGGAGGCTTGCTGTTTCTCCACGTCTTCACTGGCACTAGAATATGTATTTTTCTTTCTTTCTTTCTTTTTTCTTCTTTTTTTTTTTTTTTTTTTGACAGGGTCTACAGGATGTACAAGGTCTCACTACGTAGATCAGACTTGTAGTGACCTGTTTAAAGCCTCCCAAGGCCTGGGATTGCAGGCGCACGCCACCATACCCAGTCTCAATTGCTCTCTCAGCGCACCCCGGGGGCAGGGCAGGCATACCCTCCAGACGCCTGGATCTGCCTAAGCAGGCATTTTAATCTGCTGAACTATTTTGCTGGCCCCAGAATACTTGTTTCTGACTTTTTTTTTTTTTTTTAATACTAGGGCTTAAACCCAGCACCTTATCATTGAACTACATCCCCCATCCTTTATTTAAAATTTTGAGACAAGGTCTCCTAAGTCACCAAGTTGGCCAGGTTGAACTCAAACTTTCAGTACTCCTGCTTCAGCCGCCCAGTGCTGAAGAACAGGTGTGGGCCACCACAGCGGACCTCTGACTTTTTCACGTAGCCACCCTTGTGGGTGTGAAATGGTATCTTGTGGCTCTGATTTGTATTTCCCCAAAGCTGAGTGTTGTTTCATTCGTTTGTTATCCATCTGTCTGTGTCATTTGAAGAAGTGTCTATTTGGATCCTTTGTCCTTTTGTAATTGGGTGGTCCTCACTGTTTAATAGTAAAGTTCCTTTCTGTCTTCTCTTTCCATTCATCAGCCTCTGTCACCATAACAAAATACCTAAGATGAATAAATGTGGGAAGAATTTATTTTGCTTCCTGTTTCAAAGGTTTCAGTTCATGGTCAGTTGGCTTCACTGTTTCGGGACCTGTAGCCAGGCAGAGTATCCTAGCAGGAAGCATGTAGTGGAGGATGCTGGGAAATGGGAAACAGTTGAGGTCCCAGTATCCTCAGCTGGAGACCAGGCCTTCAAAACA